GGGGACGGAGGCGGAGGCGGCGACGGCGGGGGCAATAGCGACGCTTCTGCGGCCGGGTCGGCGGCGGCGCCTTCCCCGCCGCCGGCCTCCCCGCGCCGCTACCGCGCCCTGCTCCGCTCGCACCAGCTCTACACGCCCGCCTCGGCCCCTTGCCGCCTCTCCCCGCACGCCGACAACCTGCACCAGATCGACGCCGTCGGCGGCCCCGCCGCTTTCCTCGACATCCTCGCGCCCCCCTACGACCCCGAGCGCGGCCGGGACTGCCACTATTACCGCCTGGGCGACGGGCAGAGCCTCGGCCCCGACGCCGAGCACCAGGGGCTGCCCCGGGAGGTCTGGCTGCAAGAGACCCCGCAGGCGCCCGACTTCTGGTGCGGCGGGGAGCCCTACCCGGGGCCCCGGGTGTCTCCTTGAAGCCTCGCCTGGCTGCCTTCTCCACTGGCCCGCTGGAAGGGGCCGGCGAGAGCCATCCTTCCCTCCCCGGTGATGGGGGGGCGGGAGGCCTGCCCTGCCCTGCCCTGCCCAGGCTCTGGCCCCATGCCCTTTCCTGGTTGCTGCACTGGAGACCTTCTAAAGCCATAGTTGCCCTGTCTTTTCCCAGACCAGACGCTTACCTGAGTAATAAGAATAGGAGCAACCCACTTGGGGAACTTCGCAGCAGAACGCCAGCGTTCCTCGAGAGCATTGCCCTGTGTAAGGAAACAGGCCTGGGCACACAGCCTCCTGTGGTTTTAAGTTCTCCTTCCGGGCTCAGAGCGTTGAGAAGCACAAGCCGCCGGTCCGGAGACAGCACACCCCTCTTAACGAATGGGTCTGGAGAGAAAACAGGTTCTGCCCAAGATGTTGCGTTTCAAATGGTGCATGGGCAAGAGGGTCTTTCTTGGGAGCTTGGCTCCTTGCACAAACAGCAGCCAACTCATGCTCGGCGTGGGAACCAGAGAACGCTGAAGTTGATCCCTGTCATTTGAGGCCAGTAGTGTCAAGTCGCTTTGCAGTGGATGCGCCTCAGTTGCGTGGAGTTGGGAGAAGCGGCACTGTCAATTCGGGACACGACTTGCATCCCATTTCTTGTCCTTGCAGGGAAGCTCCAAAACTCTTCAGTTCTGTGGGTGCAAAGCTGTTGGGAGCTGCCATATTTATTTCTCCTAATTGATGTGAAGATATGGGAGAGTAATAACATTTCACCATTCAGGCACCAAGATGGTATTTAGCTTAATTTAGAAGTAACACTTTGTACCTTCACTTTTCCTCTTCTGCTACAGCTAAAAAAGGCATTAAGAATTCTGGGGCCCTTTGAAAATTACAGTTCCTGCAATCCATTTAGTAGAATTCCAAGATGGGATTGGAGGACAGCGAGATTTATGCGGAAGATGATACGAAATGGGCTGGAGCGGGACAGTATACTTTGAATTAACATTATTGGGTGTGTCGTTAAAATTAAAGTTTAATTCTGCCTATGGATGATGTCCAGTTGAGCGTGAGGATCCTGTCAAAAATATTACATCTGTGTTAAGAGAACGTGTTTTAGATATTAAAAATGATAATTCCTAGATAAGGCTGTTTGTACCATTCTTTAACATCCGTTGATGGAAGCTTTTCTAGTTGATTTTTGCTGCAAAGATTCATTCACTGTATTTAGAAGGGGGTGACATTACATAACACAAGACAGATGGTGTTTTTGACACGATGGTAATAAGCTTCTGGCACAGGCCTTCTGTAGAAGAATTTGATAGTTGCTGGAAGATTATGGTTTGAGTCTGGTTCTTAAGTTCTGTTTGAAGCCTTGTGTAAGCAGATGTACGTGAAGCAATAGCTTTTTTTTACTATTTATAGTTAACTTCATGGAACTTTTATTAAATGAAAAGGAAATGGAGTTGCTTTCCCCCTTTGGCGTGGCATTCCCTGTGCATCGCATGGGTGTGGTGTCACAAAGGGATGTCTCTTCAGTGGCTGAGTGCTCTCTGGTCACTGGGAATCTTTATAATCCTATATATTGTAAGGTACCTGCCCTGTCACCTTCTGATCTAGGCATTTGTTTTGGTGTCTTTTAACACTAAAGTACATTAAGGGGTGTTACCAACCTTTATGAAATTCGTTCCAAGATTGATCTTTGTTTGTTGGCTGTATTCATAGCGGCAGATTCACTGGTATTTTTCCTGTCTGGGATTATGTGTGTAATTACTGTGTGCAATTCTGGTCACCACACCTTAAAAAGGATATTATAGCTTTGGAAAAAGTGCAGAAAAGGGCAACTCGAATGATAAAAGGGTCGGAACACTTTCCCTATGAGGAAAGGTTAAGGCACTTAGGGCTCTTTAGCTTGGAGAAACGACGACTGAGGGGTGACATGATCGAGGTTTATAAGATTATGCATGGGAAAGAGCAGGTAGAGAAAGAGGTACTTTTCTCCCTTTCTCACAATACAAGAACTCGTGGGAACTCCATGAAATTGCTGAGCGGTCGGGTTAGAACAGATAAAAGGAAGTACTTCTTCACCCAAAGAGTGATTAACACTTGGAATTCACTGCCACAGGAAGTGGTGGCGGCTACAAGCATGGACGGCTTCAAAAAGGAATTAGATAAGCATATGGAGCAGAGGTCCATCAGTGGCTATTAGCCACAAGGTATAGATTGGTGCTCTGGGGCAAGGGATGCTCTGTCTTCTTGGTGCTTGGGGGGGATCAACAGTGGGAGGGCTTCTAATGTCCTGGCCCCACTGGTGGACCTCCTGATGGCACTGGTATTTCTGGCCACTGTGTGATACAGAGTGTTGGACTGGATGGGCCTTTGGCCTGATCCAACATTGGCTTCTGTTCTGTTCTTATGTTCTTAAATATTGCAGCTGTACTTTGTGTATTAATACTTCTGGTTTTTACAGTTGCCTATCAAAGATGATGGGGGGAAATGCAACATCCCGTGCTTAATAAGCAAACCTCCAGTTGATGAATGACTTAACTTGCATCAGTCGCAATAGTGTTTAATCGTTTGTGTATAAAGCTGTGTTCTTGGTACTGGGAGGCTGAGGTCAGCTTGGCTCCTGCTGGGCCAGGGCTGCTTTGGCCATGGGGCATGTGAGAGAAGGAGGCCTTTGTCAGAAGAGGCTTTTTTGTCACAGCAGTGGTGTGCTGACCGTACAGCTTGAGGAAGCCGTAGAAGCATCACCCCATGTGTTCTCTTGATGTGGATAACCAGAATTTCAGATTACAATAGTAGCACGTGGACTGGAAAACAGTTTTATTGTTTTGTTGTTGTTAGTGCTGTCAAGTCGCTTCTGACTTATGGCGACCCTGTGAATGAGCGATCTCCAAAGCCTCGTATCGTTCACAGCCTTGCTCAGGTCTTGCAAACTGAGGGCTGCAACTTCCTTAGTGGAGTCCATCCATCTCGTGTTGGGTCCAGTGTTCCCTCTAAGCTGAGTTACTGTGAGCAAGCTCACAGTTTTTTAGCCTCCAACTCACACATTTTTGTCTTAGCTCAGGAAGGATGGCTCCAGAGCAAACTAATTTATGCGGTAGCCAAATCACTTGCTCACAACTTTAATGCCAGTAGCTCACAAAGTAGAATTTTTACTCACAAGACTCCACAGCTTAGAGGGAACATTGGTTGGGTCTTCTTCTTTTCCTGCTGCCTTCAACTTTTCCTAGCATTATTGTCTTTTCTAGTGACTCTTTGTCTTCTCATAATGTGACCAAAGTACAATAAGCCTCAGTTTAGTCCTTTAATCTTTGAGGAAGAGTTCAGGCTTGATTTGATCTAGAAACCACTTATTTGGCTTTTTGGCGGCCTATCGTATCTGTAAAACTCTCCTCCAACACCACATTTCAAATGAATCAACTTTCTTTCTGCCAGCTTTCTTCATTGACCAATGATGTTCACACCTGAACACAGTAATGGGGCACACTGTGGTATGAATTATCTTAATCTTGGTCACCAGCAACGTATCCATACCCTTAAGAATCTTTTCTAGCTCCTTCACGGCTGTCCTTCCCAGTTTCAATCTCCTTCTGTTTTCTTGGTTGCCGTCTCCCTTTGGGCTGATGATGGAACCGAGGAATAGAGAATCTTTAACAAGGTCTGTTTCTTCATCATCAACCTTAAAGTTGTATACTTCCACAGTAATCGTTACTATTGTCTTCTTGATGTTCAGCTGCAATTCTGCTTTGGTACCTTCTGCTTTAACCTTCATCAGTAAGTTTATTGTTTAGTGTTGTGTCAGGATACAGGATGATCTCAACAGGCTGGAAAACTGGGCTAAAATAAATAAAATGAATTCCAACGGGGATAAATATAAAGCTCTGCAATTGGGTAGGAAAAATCAAATGCATAAATATAGGATGGGGGAGACTTGTCTTGGCAGTAGTATGTGTGAAAAGGATCTGGGGTCTTAGTAGACCATACACTGAACATGAGTCAGTAGTGTGATGCGGTAGCTAAAAAGGCAAATGTGATTTTGGGCTGTATCAACAGATGTATAAGAAGAAGAGATTGGATTTATACCCCGCCCTTCACTTGGAGTCTCAGAGCGGCTTACAAACTCCTTTCCCTTCCCCTCCCCACAACAGACACCCTGTGAGGTGGGTGGGGCTGAGAGAACTCTGACACAAACTGCTCTTTTCCAAGGACAGCTGTGCCAGAGCTTGTGACTGACCCAAGGTCACATCAGCAGGTGCAAGTGGAGGAGTGGGGACTCAAACCCGTTTCTCCCAGATTAGAGTCCGTACACTTAACCACTACACCAAACTGGCTCTCTATAGTGTCCAGATCACGCAAAGTGATGGGCTCTCCTTCTTTGGAGGTTTCCAAACAAAGGCGAGATGGCCATCTGACAGCAATGCTGATGTGTGAACTTAGGCAGATCATGAGAGGGAGGGCAGGAAGGGTTGCATCAGTGCTTAGTTGTTGTGGCCCTTTCTTTCACACCCAGGGAAATACTGATCGCAGCTTTGGGGTCAGGAAGCAATTTTTCTTCAGGCCAGTTTGGCTGGAGATCCTGGAGGTTTTTTGTCATCTTCTCGGTATAGAACAGCGGGGGGGGGAGGTATTTGCAAATTTCCTGCCTTGTGCTGGGGGTTGGACTAGATGACACTGGAGGTCCCTTCCAACTCCATCATTCTATGATTCTTGCTGCCAAGTGTGCACATTGAACAAAAGTTGACTGTGATCTGGTAAATTTTAATGCTGTTCTGCATGGAAAAGTTAACCGCACTCCCTATAGTAAGAGAGGAGAGCAGAACTGTTTTTAGAACAAAGCTAAAATCAACTGAGGATGAAGAAAGAATGGCAGGAGTTCAGAGACTTAAAGCTAGTATGAGGGAGGCCCTCAGTTCAGACATTGATTTTTTCCCCCAGTTTCCCATTATGGTTTTTGAAATTCTGTATGAACCTATTAGACCAGAGGGGCATACCAAATGACTATCTATACTGCCTAGCAACAATACATGGTTTGCCAGATAGCTGGTGATGTTATCGTATCCCACTTTTATATTGAGCAAACAGATATTTGAAACTTTGGAAGAATTATACTTACACTCAAGATGTGCATATTATTGTTGTTGTTCAGTCGCACAGTCAAGTCCGACTCTTCGCGACCCCATGGACCAGATCACGCCAGGCCTTCCGGTCTTCCGCCGTCCTCTGAAGTTGGCTCAATTTCATGTTTGTTGCATCTAAGACACTGTCTAACCATCTCATCCTTTGCTGTCCCCATCTTCTTTGACCTTCAATCTTTCCCAGCATCAGGGTCTTCTCCAGGGAGTGCTCCCTTCTCATTGGGTGGCCAAAATATTTGAGCTTCAGTTTCATTATCTGGCCTTCCAGGGAACAGTCAGGGTTGATTTCTTTTAGGATTGACTGATTGGATCTTCTTGCAGTCCAAGGGACTCTCAATATGTGCATATACTGAGAGGTTAAATGTAGTCTTCTCTTCCTGTGCACTTTTTATCGTGATTTTTTAAAAGGCGTCACTGAATACTGCTGAATAAGATTAGGCCCTAAAGAGCCCTGCATGTCAGGGGGAAAGTGCTGCTGCTAGTGCAGGGGGGGAGGGACAGCTTCCCTCTCATTGCAGCCGCTTGCACTGTAGGGCATGCTGCTACAGGGGGTACTCCATTCCTATGGGGGGGGTGCAAGAGGGGCTACAGTCAGGGGAGCCGTGGTGTGCCTGAGGGAGGGGGAAGGCCTTTTAGGTCCCAGCTTAAGTTACTGTGGAAATGTATGTTTTCAGAAGGAAGTGTCACTGTTGGTAGTTTAGAAGTAGTATTTAAACCTATCCCTTTCTTCAGTTTATAGGACAAGCACAAGTTGGTTTGCACTGCTGCTGGAGCATGCCATCTCAGATCTCAGAAGCTAAGCAGGGTCGGCCCTGGTGAGTACTTGGATGGGAGACCACCAAGGAATTCCAGGGTTGCCATGCGGAGGCTGGCGATGGCCAACCCCCTCTGAATATCCGTTGCCTTGAAAGCCCTGTAGGATCACCATAAGTTGACTGCAGCTTGACGGCACTTTACACTCCAG